GATAATTATGCTTATTTATTTATGTACTTTTTTTGGAGGAGGTACTGGGGATTGAACCCAGGACCTTGTGCATGCTAATCATGCTCTTTACCACTTTAAACTATATCCTTCCCTTGAATGAACTGATTTTGAGCGCCTCCTGTTATCTCATTTACTCTTGTTAGACCCAGCTCTCAGTCTTGTCTCTTTGAATCAGTGTGGTGGAAATTCCTTAAAACTTTTAGTGTATGTATGGTCTTTTGCTTCATTTCCAGTACAAATACCGAATTTTCACTATTTTTAGTTATTTATACATTTCACTGGGAATTTTAGATAAGTAGGAATTTAAACAAATGAATTTCTAATATCAACCTTGGTAAAAAGTTACCAATATTTAACCTGGAGGATATTGAATTCAATTTACAAGTATTAAATAAAGTACACAGAGGAAGAGTGAGAATTAGGCCTTGGAAAAAAAGAAAAGGAGTATTTCTATCTGCTCCATGAAGCCTTTCTAACACTTTTATCTTTCTAAATTCCCATGGCCTTCGTAGCTATTGTTATAATCAGCCTATGTGTAGGATATGTGCATAGGAGGGGGCTAAACTCTGCAACAAGGTTATAATAATCTCCTTAAGAATTGGTGTTGTATCATTTAAAAAATTAATAATCATTGGATATTCATTGATTTACTTGTGTACTTTGTATTGATAAACTTTGGATGGTTTAGCATTATAGGAGTGCCAACAAGCAGAAGGAAAGCTCAGTGCTGGAAATCTAGAACTGATTTCTTCCGTAGTCTTGCAATCCGCAAATTGTGAAGAGCTCTTGGTGACATATTTGCATGATCTACAGAACTCTCTTAAGTATTTTGCTTCTTTTTCTTTCCCCAGGCCCTACTTTTATCTAATGCTTCTAGAAAAAAGTTTTCCACTGGGGAAATTATTAACTTGATGTCAGCAGATGCCCAACAACTCATGGACTTGACGGCAAATGTCAATCTCCTTTGGTCAGCCCCTTTTCAAATCCTGATGGCCATGTCACTCATTTGGCAGGAGCTGGGTCCAGCAGTGTTAGCAGGGGTGGCAGTCCTTGTGTTTGTTATACCATTAAATGCTTTCGTTGCAACTAGAATGAAACAGCTGAAGGTAAGAAAATGATTACCTCATGTTACATGTGTCAGATGCTAAGCTTTCCGATTTGAGTTTATAATAACCATCTAGTTAATTCTCTATATGTGGAAAACAGAGGTTATAAATGAAATAATCCAAGTGTATCATTCATTTATTCAAGTGATATTAATTTGGCATCTATCCTGTGCTAGAACTGTGCCAGACACAGAAATTACAGCAGTGAGGAGAACTGTCAAGTTCCAGCTCTCATTGGGCTATTTGGAGGAGACAGTCATCAAGCAAGTAAATAAATACATAATGCCTGGTGTTAATTTGTGTATGAAGAGAAAGAAATAGGGTAAGGTGATCGAATAACAAGGGTATCATTTCACACACAGAGTCTGGGAAGTCCTCAGGAAAGATATGATCTATCAGCAGGGTAGGGGAGCAGTCCATGTGGATGTCTGAGAAGACACATCAAGCAAAGGGAAAGGTGTGTGCATGGCCTTGAGGTAGGGATTCTTGGTCTGTCTGAAGAGTGGTGAGGAGCCAGCAGGCTGGAGTGAGAAAGGAGAGACTGCATGCAGCAATGGACAGTAAATGCTTAACTGAATTAATTTTAATATTCTTCCTCTCCATTCAGTCTGTCATTCATTGTACTGTCCATATGTTTTTGATGTCTGCTATTTGCAAGTCAGTGTACACCATGCTGTACTGTAGGAATGGAGGAACAGGACGTAGCCCACGTAGCTTTGAAGATCACACTGTTAAGGGAGAGACAGATGGTTTCATATGTTAAAGTAATGTACACAAATGCAGGATGTATTGCTTATGACACTTGTTAATTTAAATGGATCACAGTTTAACAATATCTATGCACTGACATGAAAATGCATCAACCATTGTTAGAGGAAAAAGTAAATTAAAGAAACACATATGTATATATATGTATATTGTATGTCATGCATATATGTATAGTGTATGTCATGCATATATGTATACGTATATATAATTAATCAAAATTTTAAAATGTGAATATACCTGTGCACATGGATGTGACAGAGATAAATAAATGAAGATTTATATACATAGATTTAAATATATTTGTATAAGCGTAGAAGTAACCTAAAGGTAAAGCACCAGTCTTTTAATAGTTACCTGTAAGTGAAATTAGATGGAAAGAGAGATTTTCTTACTTACTACTTTAATACATTTAGATGCTGAATTTTTCAAAAAATTGCAGACTAGATGACTAGTCTTTAAAGATAACTAGAAAATAACATATAATTATAAAATAATTACGAATTCCACTAACCACACTCGTATTTAGAATAACAGGTGTTTTAATGAATGCTTTTAAACTAATTTTAAAAAAATATTCTGGATTTTAAATGATTATAAATCAAATTTTGGGGAGTGGAATTCATTTTCAGGACCTTTTTCTAGAAACCTAAAATATCCAAAGAGACTGCAATATTATGTACAAATATTCTAAACAGAAAGTGTGCCTTTAATCATACAAATAATATTAAGAATATTAACTTGTAAGTGTGTACTTTGTTAAATAGTGCAAATACTTATTACTACATGTAACATAATTGTGGTGATATTATTGGAGGAAACCCTTAAGAAGCAATACCCAAACAATGATAAGTATAAAACAATATAAATAATAAACTTTTGAATAAATATGTAATAATGGATAATATTTTCAAAAAAGCAGTATTTGAAAATATACAGTTTAATCACTAATTTCCAAAGTATTAATAACATTGAAGATAGTGTACTTAAAATATAGAAACTTTTTTTTTATTCTTTTGATACTTCTGTTGTTATGTATATGTAAATAATTGATAGAGTTTAGGGAGTTTTACTCCATAGAATATGGATATTATTTTATTATTCAATTTAAAACAAATCATGTCTAAATAAATATTATTTTCTACTCTTTTGGAAAGGGGGCATCTTGTCTTTATGTTAGTATTGGCTACTTTTAAGTTATAAAATATTTATTTATAAATATTTTCTAACAACAAAATAATATTGTATGAATATTATAATATAGTATTTTTCAACTAAATATTATATAAGATAGAGGAAATTGATTGTATTTTTTAAAATAGCTATAGCCATGTAAATTAAAGTGTTAGCAACTTTTGTCAAATATACTTTCATTTTCTTTCCATTACATAGAAAAGCAAAATGAGGAACAAAGATAAACAGATCAGACTGCTCTATGAAATCTTACATGGAATTAAGGTAATATAAAAAGGACATGCCTTTAATTTAACTCTTTAGTATATAGCAAT